TAATAGACGAGTAGAGCGGGCAGATCCTTCCTCCACCTGGTTAATACGGTCCTCCGCATCAGTCAGACGTTCGCCCATTTTCTCCATAGATTGCTCCAAGGAGGTCATTACTGTTGTCATTGCTGTCAGCTTCTCGTTGTTTTCACGTCTGAACACTCTGAGCTCAGACAGAATCGCTTCACTAGCATTGGGCTGTTCCTCAGCATGCTCGAAGCTAGCGCTAGCATTAGCCTCCCCCTGTTTGCACTGCTGAAAAAAGGTCGCCTTAATATCTTTACTTTTACCGTCGGATGCTTTCTTTTCCTGTGAGCCTCTGTTGGAGTGACTCATGTTGATGGGAAATAATGAGTCTCGCGTATATTTCGATCTTGTTGTCTCACGGGGTGGGTGGTTCGTGGTCGGGGGGGGGATCTCTACTCCACTAACAAGCAGCCGTCATGTCAGTTGCCAGAACCGGAAGCCTGCAATTTCCCTTTCAAAGTAAGAAAATGAGCGAAAATATCTTTTGGGAAAAAATTATCTTGTCTGACACCGCAAATCGTACCAACTTGAAAATCGCACAGGAGACAGAGAAGTCCTTGATGTACAAAAGTTCTGAAGGGATTTGGCGTTTCTCAACCGGTTTTCGAATGGCGAGCCGTTAAAGTTGATGAGTTGTCGCAGCCTCCACTCATACTTTGTATGGATGCCTATGGGACATGTGCAGACATGCTGTGTCAGTTGGTCATCTACACAAGAAACTAAAGGTCCTACAGCTTTAAAAATGACACTGAGGGCTTCCAAACAAGATTTCCCACAATAATATGCTGATTTTACACATATGTGGTGAAAACTGTGGCTGTATGGGAGAGAGAAAGTGAGTAAAACTCTCAGCTCTCAACCAGGGGCATGAAGAACGATGAGTCATCATGACATCATCACAGGTCAGTGCAGCTGGTCATGTGACTCACTGACAGTCTGAGGCTGTGTCCGAAATCACTCCCTATGCCCTACATAGTGCACTACATAGGGTGCACGCCATTTTGTAGTATTGTTCGAATTCTCAGCGGTAAATTTCATCCACTATATAGCGCACTCAAAATATCCCACAATGCACCGTAAAAAGTAGTGTACAGCCGATGGTCACTAACCGAACAATATGGACCGTCATGCATTGCACGAAAGGAAATGGAAATGCAGATGAATGAGAGTGCGGAAAAATTCCCGTTTGTTTTGTTAAATTTTATTTTACCCGGACAGTGAACGTCGCTAAAATTGCGACGCTCGGTTGTGATTTGGACATACAACACCACTTTATTAAAATTGCTTCTAGTTACTGGATCCTGAAGAAACGCTCTCTCATCTGGTATGTACAGCAAAATGACAATAAACTTGATTTAATTTGATTTCTTAGCTACGCAATGAAATGTTAATTTGATGTGTTTGTACTACGCTGTTGCAGTACAAATAGCGAGCGACGTAATTAATAGCTCGAGTCGTGTCCGAAATGATACTTTGCCGAGGTGCTCCCTATATAGGGAGTAGGGAGTAGGGAGTGAGTGGGTGATTTTGGACATGGCCTCAGGCTGAGAAGAGAGAGAAAAATGGCTCCTTCAGCTTAAAGCAGGTTCAACTTGTGTCAAAATGGAGGTCAGACGGGCATGAGGTTGCAACGCGGACCGAGGACCCGACAACCGCTGCTTGCAGCTTTAATTATTAGGGTCCGAGGACCCCTACTTGCTTGCAGAACTTTTGTACATCAAGGCCTTCTCTGTCTCCTGTGCGATTTTCAAGTTGGTACGATTTACGGTGTCAGACAAGATAATTTTTTCCCAAAAGATGTTTTCACTCATTTTTTTACTTTGAAAGGCAAATTGCGGGCTTCCTGTTTGAGATAGGTCAGGGGTATTGCGCAAGATTTGTGGGTCTCATTGAGACGAACATTTTGGTGTTGGTTTGATCTCTGTACGACATTCCTACTGGGCGCTAGGGCCGTTTTAGTGTGTTTTTCTGTAACTCAGTGGCACTAGAGAGCCTTTTAGGATTTTTTTTTCATTTTATCAAATTTTTCGCCGATTCGGACGTGTGTGCCAATTTTGGTGAGTTTTTGAGTGTGTTTAGGGGGTCAAATTAAGGGTTTCGCGTTCGTCAGGAAAATAATAATAATAGGAATAATGAAAAACAGAAACAGGTGACAGTCACATTGCACATAGTCCAATGATAGAGCATCCAATGTCCTCACTCCCCACTCCCCACCTCTCCCCGCTTGCTGCTCCTCCCCCTTCCTCCAAAGGAGTTTTTGGTCCTGTTGGTTTTGCACCTGGGGAGGAGCAGCCTGTCTCTGAACTGGCTCCTCTGGGTGATGATGACAGTGTGCAGAGGGTGGCTGCATTCATCCATGATGGCGAGCAGTTTGTTCAGTGTCCTCCTCTCTGCCACTGTGATCAGGGAGTCCAGTTTCATGCCCACTGCAGAGCTGGCCCGCCTGATTAATTTGTCCAGCCTCGATGAGTTCCTTTTTGATGTGCTGCTGCCCCAGCACACCACAGCATAAGAAAGGATGCTGGCGAGCCCTGACTGGTAGAACATCCACAGGAGTTTCCTGCAGATGTTGAATGACCGGAGCCTCCTCGGGAAGTACAGCCTGCTCTGTCCCCTCTTGCAAAGGTAGTCTGTGTTGCATGTCCAGGCCAACTTGTTGTCCATTCACAGCCCAAGTTACTTGTAGTTTTCTACAAGTTCTACCTGATGTGCCTCAATCAGAACTGGTTGTGGGCATGGTCCAGATTTCCTAAAGTCTATGACCAGTTCCTTTGTCTTTGAGGCATTGAGCTGCAGGTGGTTTTCTCTGCATCAGACAACAAAGTCATCCACCAGACTCCTGTACTCACTCTCTCTGTCATCCTTGATACACCCCATGATGGCTGTGTCATCTGCGTACTTCTGTATGTGGCACAGCTCCGAGTTGTAACAGAAGTCCGTGGTGTACAGGGTGAAGAGGAGAGGGGCCAGCACTGTCCCCTAAGGGGCCTCTGTGCTGCTGATGACAGTGTCAGATGTGGTGTCCTTGAATCTGACATACTGTGGTCTGTCAGTCAAGTAGTTGGAGATCCAGTCCACCCAGTACGACTCCACTCCCATCCTTTCTAATTTTCCCCGCAGTAACGGGGGCTGGATGGTATTAAAGGCACTTGAGAAGTCCATAAAAAGAATCCTCACAGTGCCGCTTCCCTTGTCCAGGTGTGAGTGGGCTCGATGGAGGAGGTACAGCACAGCATCCTCCACCCCAACATTTTTCCGGTAGGCAAATTGTTGAGGGTCCTGGGCGTGTTGAACCTGGGGCCTGAGGAGGTGGAGGAGGAGCCACTCCAGCATCTTCATCAGGTGTGAAGTGAGTGCCACTGGTCGGCAGTCATTCAGCTCGCTGGGCCGGGTCTTTTTCGGCACCAGAGCATGCAGGATGTCTTCCAGAGGGTGGGCACTGTCCCCAGCTGCAGGCTGAGGTTGAAGATGTGCTGTAGCGGCTCCCCCAGTTGAGCAGCACAGGACTTGAGCATCCGTGGACACACCTTGTCCGGTCCTGCTGCCTTCCTGTGCAGGATCCTCCTTGGTTGTCCCCTGACCTGGTCAGCTGTTATGCAGGGAGAGGGGGGAAGGAGGGGAGGGGAGGGAGGGAGGGGCTGAGCTGTTGTTGAGAGGGAGGCACACTGAGGGAGGGGAGACTGCTGTGAGGGTGAGGGTGGGGATGGGGGGGTCACGGGCTGGTTGAACCGGTTGAAGAAGGCATTCAGATTGTTTGCCTCCACCATCCCCCCTGCTGTTCTGGCTTTTGTTCTGAAGCCCGTCATGGTGTTCACACCCATCCAGACCTCCCTCATGTTGTTGTCCCTCAGCTGCTGCTCCACCTGCTGTAGGTGTCTTTGGCCTCCTTCAGGCACAGCTTCACCTTCCTCTGTGCTGATGTGATTGTCTCCCTCTTTGTTCTTGATGGCCACCTTCTTTCTGTTGAGTGCAGCTTTGACCTCCTGCATCACTCAGGGTTTGTTGTTCGGGTGACAACGAATAGTCTTAGCAGGAGAGACTACATCCGAACAGAAGTGGACATTGATGTTTATTGATTTGGTGCTGTTTTTCATTGTTGAAAATTTCATGTAGAGATCTCCTTTTCTGTATGAAGTTAAAAGGGCTCAATTTTTGCTAGAAAAAGTAATGCAAATTAAAATGTGCAAAATTTTCCACCCATGTGTACTCGAGGCTCCGTAGCTTTTTTCATAGTATTAGGGTAAAGTTTTGCATGGTTTCATTTAATGTACTAAAGTTATTTTACATTATACATAGATCAGCTGATTCTGAAGAGGTCAGGTGGGAATGTTTTTCAGACATGCTTGATTTCATATGGAATGACTCCATTTTTTTTGCAAGCTACAAAGTGCATTGGAGTAAGATTGAAATCATCTGTTAGACATTTGATGAAACAAAAATGCATGTGAATTTAATTTTCTTTCCATCAGAACAGCCTTGTCTTTTGCCCAGAGTTATCAAAAGAGTCACATGATGTCTTGTCTTTTGTGAAATCACATTTGTTCAACAGTGGTGTGGGGGAATTCATATTCTTTCATTTACCAATAACTGAGTAACATCTCAAAACTCTATGGATAACTAATTCCTGAGGTAATGGAAGGTGAGGTAGGGAAGAAAAATCTGAAGCTGCTACAAGTAAAGAAGTGTGAAAAGCTGCTGCTGTTTGTTTCTGAGCAGGTGGGACGACTCCAGTGTCCTCTGATGCTGGTGGTAGGTGAAGATGATCAGAACTGGCCTGCGTATGATTCAGCAGTAGATGTGAGTATATTTTTATGACAGCTTTATGTGTGAATAACTAGAGATTTGAAGTAAGGTTAGAAATCAGTATAACAAAAGCTGCCTTAAATTTTGCTGTGAAAAAGTAAAGAAGTGCAGCAAGACATTGAAGGCTAAAATGGAGAATACAAAACAAAAAAGAAAGTCTTTATGAAACATTTGAGTTCCTGATTGAAACTTAACTTGATTTTTTTTATTAGGGTCCAAGCACTACAGTGCGTAGGACCTTATTGTAACCCTTGTGATCATTTTTATACCGACATAAAAGAGGAAGTACTGCATAACTTCCCTGTGCATGCTCCAATCTGCCTCAAACTTTTCATATTCAATCAGACTGCTGTCCTGATCACATCCATATGCTCAAATCCATTCACAGTCATAGCGCCACCTATTGGCAACAGGCTTTTTGAGGCATTACCTCAACATGTACCATTGCTCCAAACTTTGTGATATCATTCTTAAAATTTTTCAGCTAAGTCTTCCTACATTGATGATGCTACACTGCGAAGCGTGTGCGTTTTCAAGCAACAGTGTTGATATGGCGACGAATAGTTGCTATGACACGGGAAGGATTTTTTTTGACAGCTTTGGAATGCTCATAAAATCACCAAAATTGGCATACGAGTCACTATTGGCTCAACCACAGACAATGTGTGCCTGTTTGGAAAAATGGCTCGATAGCGCCCCCTGCAGCAATTTATCCATTAGCCCCCGCAGGACGTTTGACTGACATTTACAAAATTTGGTAGGCATATGTAACACATCAGGATGCACAAGAAAGCCTCTTGGACCCATACCGTAGACACAACAGGAAGTCCACCATTTTGAAATAACTGTGCATTTTTTTGTGTTTTTCGTCATATTCAAGAGCAAACTCCTCCTAGGGGTTAACTCCTACACGCCTCAAATCTGGCCAGCGCATACAATAGGGCTACTATACTGTAAGACCATTGATCGTATTAATGTCAAATTTGGTGAACTCGGCCTTCACATGTTGATGATGACTCACGGTGAAAATTGTACGTTTACGTCAAAGGGCGTGTCTGTGACACTGCGGCGAATTTTGTTCAAAACTCAAATGTTCATATCTCAGCTGCAGATAATCGAATCAAATCAAAATTTGAGGCATGTAGAAGTTAACCCCGAGGAGGAGTTTGCTCTCGAAAATGACAAAAATCACCAAAAATTGCACAGCTATTTCATACATATTCATACATATGCGCAACAACCAAAAATTAAAGCTGCAAGCAGCGTTGGTCGGGTCCTCGGTCTGCGTGGACCCTCATGCCCGTCTGACCTCCATTTTGACACAATTTAAACCTGCTTTAAGTTGAAGGAGCCATTTTTCTCTCTCTTCTCAGCCTCAGACTGTCAGTGAGTCACATGACAAGCTGCACTGACCTGTGATGATGTCATGATGACTCAGCGTCTTTCGTGCCCCTGGTTGAGAGAGCTGAGAGTTTTACTTCACTTTCTCTCTCCCATACAGCCACAATTTTCACCAAATATGTGTAAAAACAGCATATTTTTGTGGGAAATCTTGTTTGGAAGCCCTCAGTGTCATTTCTAAAGCTGTAGGACCTTTAGTTTTTTGTGTAGATGACCAACTGACACAAGATGTCTGGAGATGTCCCATAGACAGCCATACAAAGTATGAGCCGAGGCAGCTCATCAAATTTGACGGCTCGCCATTTGAAAACCGGTTGAGAAACGCCAAATCCCTTCAGAACTTTTGTACATCAAGGACTTCTCTGTCTCCTGTGCGATTTTCAAGTTGGTACGATTCACGGTGTCAGACAAGATAATTTCTTCCCAAAAGATGTTTTTGCTCATTTTTTTATTTTGAAAGGCAAATTGTGGACTTCCTGTTTGAGATAGGTCAGGGGTGTCAGTGCGAGATTTGTGGGTATCATTGAGGCGAACATTTTGATGTTGGTTTGATCTCTGTAAGACATTCCTACTGGGCGCTAGGGCCATTTTAGTGTGTTTTTCTGTAACTAGGTGGCGCTAGAGAGCATTTTTGTCAGTTTTTTTTCATTTTATCAAATATTTCGCCGATTTGGATGTGCGTGCCAATTTTGGTGAGTTTTTGAGCATGTTTAGGGGGTTAAATTAAGGGTTTCGCGTTCGTCAGGCAAATAACAATAAAGAAAGAAACGCAGCGGGAACAATAGGACCCTAAATATAAAAATTTTCGCCAGTCCTGATGTGTGTGCAAATTTTCATGAGGATTTGAGCATGTTTAGGCCCTCAACAATGCAGATGTTTATGGCCATGAAGGTAGAAGAAGAAGAAGAAGAAGAAAGTATAATCCTTTCAATTTCAAGAGGGTCCTACGCACTGTAGTGCTCAGACCCTAATAATCCTTTCAGTTTCAAGAGGGTCCTACGCACTGTAGTGCTCAAGCCCTCATAAGGCACACTGGCAAAAAACAGCAGTCACTACAACACCAAACACATTAAGAGTTTAACACTTTTCTCCACACACTAATCTCAGCAATATATGTGTTTTTCTTTTCAGGATGAAATCCATTATTTCATATGATCCCATGCAAGCATCAACTCTAAATTGTAAAATTCAACTCTATCAGCAGAGATGTTGATAGAATTTCTCAAGAACTTACAAAAATGCAATATTTTTTATATATGTAGCTGCTGCCATACTTCATTTCCAATCTGCAGCCCCTCTGTGACTAGTTTGACTCATGATCTTCAGGAGTTTTATCATAGTTCTAAGTTTTGTGGCTTCTAAATATTTTTGGAGGATGTTATCAAAGTTGGATTTATTTCTTGAATGCACACATTCAAGGTCCGCACATAAGGTCTGCAATAAATTAAGAACATCATCAAACAACATCTGACAAACAATAGATCAGGATTTGAACCTCCTGTTTTCCAGATTCAGGAGATGATGGAGCGAGCGGGAAACAGCCACCTGCTGACTGTCCTGTCGTACCCGAAGGCAGGTCACCTGATTGAACCACCATACACACCACACGCCCGAGCCAGCATGTTCAGAGCAGTGGACACACGTCAGAAGAGTAAGTTCACATTTAGACTGCAGACTCTCACAGACATTCTCTGGATGATTGCAAATTGACATGCCAGAATCAGGAACTTAAGTTGTGACAGCTGTTTATTGTGTTGGCAGTGATGGCCCTGTGGGGCGGAGAGACGGTGGAACATTCTCGTGCTCAGGAAGACGCCTGGAGGAAAATGCTGGTATTTCTGAGGGAGAATCTGTACGGCGGCACAAACCCTGGTGCAACCATATTGTCCCACCTGTAACCAAGCTTACAGCTAATGACTGTGGAGTTGCAAAGTGAAGTTAAAATTCAGTCTTTTCCTCAAAGACAATATGATGTGGTTCACAGAGGAAACACTGCTATAGCCATCCAGGCTGTAGTCACTGTTCAGGTGATAGTTCTCTGTAGGATCATCTCTACAAGTGGCTCCTGTCTGACTGGTACTTTGTCATGTGAAACATTATTATCATGAAAATGTTGATGAAGATTTTTAGAATTAGATTTTGATTTAGTTAGATTGTGATTAATTACAAACTTGTGATTCCATTGGCTTCTTCTCCATGGCAACATCCAATGAGTTCTATGGGTATTGCCATAGAGACCTATCTAAATAAAGAGCTAAATTCTCCAGGAAAGTGTCATGTTTCTGTTGAGAACAATGAGAAGATCGTTTTTAAAGGAACACAATCAAACCAGCAGTTTATATACACAATACCTCGGACTTACTTTTTACATTGGTTTGCACTGCTGTCTTTAACTTGTTTTCATGTAGATGCACCAGCATATACAGTGCATCCGGAAAGTATTTACAGCGCTTCACTTTTACCACGTTTTGTTTTACAGCCTTATTCTAAAATGGATTAAATTCATTTTTTCCCTCAAAATTCTACACAAAATACACCATAAGGACAACTTGAAAAAAGTTTTTTTTTCGATTTTTGCAAATTTATTGAAAATAAAAAACTAAGAAATCATATGTACATTAGTATTCACAGCCTTTTCTCAATATTTTGTTGATGCACCTTTGGCAGCAGTTACAGCCTCAATTCTTTTCGAATATGATGCCACAAGCTTGTGTAGCAAGTACACAGGCTAGATTAGGTCTTGAAAAGCCATCAGCATTAAGGTATAATTTGGGCCTAGGTCTACAGAAGACAGATTCGGCTCTTGGAGGTAGTGGTACAGTAAAGAAACACACATACAACTTCAGATGCAGTTGGTACCATGTATTAATATGTGACAGTATATACAGTGGAAACCAGTATTTACAGTCTGCAGAGTTCTGCATTGTGATGCAATGACACATTCAAAACCAACCAGTCTCTATTTCGGCCACTATGGCAGCTGTTCTACACACAATATTGAGTGTTGCAAAAGCATAAAGTTCATGAAATATGAGGCACACAAAAATCGCCCAGCAGGTGCGCTGCAAATGTAGAGTCCCAGGATGTTAACAGTCCATGACTTAAAGTACAAGTGCATGTGTGTGTGTATGTGGGTGTACGAGAAGGTGAGGGGGAACAAAGCTGCCAGAGCCTCCTACCAGACCAGGAGGGCCCTTAACTGGGATTGCTCGGCTCCAAGCTGGTGTCTTACCTCGCCATCTATTCGATTCTGCGTCCTTACAGGTACCCTGGCCTGTATAATGTAAACAGGACCATATCTTAACATTTCGTCAACTAATTATATTCAGTGTACACAATAATTAATACATAATTCATGAGCAGCAAGAGAATAACCATTTCTCAATAAAGTGCATTTGGGCTAACTACGTTAACATCAATTCACTTCATAATTAATCATGAAAAATCTTCCTACTTTATGTCACTCATTTCTTAAATAACATACATTCACACAGTTCAAGATCAACGTAAACATTCTATAATGGTGCTGTAGTGGCACATTCATCTCCCGATACCATGAGCATTAGCATTAAAAAGCTAGGTGTACCGTAGCCAGTCCATACAAAAGAGACCGGCATATGCTAATGCTAACAACAACAGGCAGACTCACCAATTCCGGAATATATCCGACGCACCACGCGACCAACTTATCCTTCCCCGGCGCTGGTTAGTGTCTAAACGGTGAAATGATGTAACTGAGGCATTCAGAATGATACAACCAAAAACTTACTCAAGAAGATGACATTTGTTTGTAGCGACCAACCTGTAGCAGCTGCTCCGCGTGCCTCCCCTCACCTTCTAAATGAGAGGCAGAGCGGACAGCTTATGACAGGTGCTACGAGCGACGCGATTGGACGGTCACGGCCTCTACGTACGTGCATGACAACGCAACTGTATGTAAACAAATGACAGGTTTTTTTCTACCCCGGTTACACTTGGCACACCTATCTTTGGGCAGTTTTGCCCATTCCTCTTTGCAGAACCTCTCAAGATCCATCAGGTTGGATGGGAAGTGTCGGTGCACAGCCATCTTCAGATCTCTCCAGAGATGTTCAGTTGGATTCAGGTCTGGGCTCTGGCTGGGCCACTCAAGGACATTCACAGAGGTGTCCTGAAGCCACTCTTTTGAGATCTTGGCTGTGTGCTTGGGGTTGTTGTCCTGCTGAAAGATAAACCGTCGCCCCAGTCTGAGGTCCAGAGCGCTCTGGAGCAGGTTTTCATCCAGGATGTCTCTGTACATTGCTGCATTCATCTTTCCCTCAATCCTGACTAGTCTCCTCATTCCTGCCGCTGAAAAACATCCCCACAGCATGATGCTGCCACCACCATGCTTCACTGTAGGGATGGTATTGGCCTGGTGATAGGCAGTGCCTGGTTTTCTCCAAACATGACGCCTGGCATTCAGGCCAAAGAGTTCAATCTTTGTCTCATCAGACCAGAGAATTTTGTTTCTCATGGTCTGAGAGTCCTTCAGATGGATTTTGGCAAATTTTAGGCAGGCTGCCATGTGCCTTTTATGAAGGAGTGGCTTCCGTCTGGCCACTCTACCATAGAGGCCTGATTGATGGTGTAGGATATGGACAGACACAGATGCCCAAAAGGATTTGGAAAACTTCATTTGAACTTCCCAGCACCCAAGTCACAGGCCATAAAAAAGACAGAGCTGTCCTGCAAGTCACAGGACCATGTAAATCAACTCTGCAGACTCGGAGGAGTCGAAGCTGGAGGAAGCAGAGCCCCCCTTGGGAATTTCCTTATCACCTATCAAAGCTTCGGAGGATCTAACTTTGGTAGAAGCGTTTGGGGGAAGACAAGGAAAAACATTCAACCACATGGACCTTAACAGATGGCCAGGCGCAATGAAGTGCCCTGGGCTTAACGTATTGCTCTGCTGACCCCTCATTTCCTGTGGCATGCAACAACTTAACAACTGAAGTCATTGATGAACAATAAGACACAGCACCAGAAGATGTGCCTTATTATCTTGTGTTAAGTTTAATCGTTAA